TCCACACTATTGATGCTAATAATAAATCTTAAGAATCTTGTCTTCTGAACATGAAATTTGCATTTTACAATGCTTGCTTGAAGACATGTTTTTCATAGTCAAGCTAGCATCTGATGCACATGCTCTTTATGCTTTTTGAGAGTTCTGCTAAAGATCAGCAGATCATCTATATAAATAACCAGGAATTTATCTAGAAAGTTAAAAAAGATGGTGTTAATAAATCTCTGAAAGATAGAGAGTCTATTACTTAGCTCAAATAGAACAATATTGTACTTGTAAGTTCTATATTAAGTATGAAAACTAGTTAGATCTTGAGAGACAAAATTCACTAAAATTCAATAAAAGCTCTGCTGGATATCCAGCTTTGTAAAGAATCTCACTCTATTTGGAAGATTCATAATCTTGTTAATCAAGAGAAGAGAGTGTCAGTCTTTTTTTGAGATAGTGTTCAGCTTCCTATAATTTATGCAGAATCTTATCTTTCTGCCAGTGTGTGCAATTAGAATTAAAGAGATGAATAATATTACTGTAGAAGAGAAAAAATCTTTATTCAGATTAGCTTCAAGATACTTTTTAATTATCTCTAGCTTCTTCATGCTTATTTTGTAAAGTGGTGTATGGCTAATGTCTCTGTTAGAGTTAGATTCTTTGACCAGATTGATTTTGTAGTCAATAGTAAGTCTGAAAAAGAACAGCTGGTCTGATACTATCTTAAAGAATATATTCTAGAACTCTCTATAGTATTCTAGTAAGTTCTTATTAATTAGTCTCTCATTATCTTCTTCTGCTCTGACAATAGTCTTCTTCTTTTTCTTCTTGAGAAGACTATTGATTTTACAGAGACTAATAATATAGATGACTGCTTTCTGCTGCTTTACTATTTTGTAAAAAGAAGCTGTGCTGATAAATACTATATCTACTACTGGAGATATTTGTATCTGCTAGAGGTCAGCTCTATAGCTTGAAGCTGGAGCTGTATGGCTCTTGCTGACTTCTAATTAATCAGTTTGATTCATCAGTGTACTGGCTAATTCTTTTGAATTTAGTGCTGTTTTTAACTTTATGTTCTTGATCTCTATCAACAGATTGTGATAACTTGTGTCTGCTTGCTATACTGGAATTTAAAGCTTCTTAATTACTTTATTGCTTACTTTTTACTGTTCAGATCAGACAAGTTACTGTTTTCTTATATCAAGTCAGATTCTTTACTTCACAAGTCAGACTCTTTCAAGAATCATTAAATAGCTTCTGAGATCTGCTAGCAGCATGGGAATATTCAGAAATCTTCTTCCATTAATTCAGAGATATAGCTGAATAAGATGTGTGATAGATCTTTTTTTCTTCTCTTTAAAGTTCTTTATCTGATACTTATCTGAAAGCCTCTTCAGATGCAATCTATATTTGGTGCAGAGATTTAATATAAGACTTTAATCAATAAATATATATCTCTTTGCTCTGGAGTTGACTAGAGATTTTATAGTTATAGCATATCTATTAAAGACTACTTTATGAAATATAATAAAAAATCTTCTGTCTATTAATCTGCTTAAGTTTAAGTTGTCTAGAAAGATCTTTAAGTTTGAGATAAAGACTTCTCTCAGACTTTTTCTTTTCCTGACTTGATTTTGAATTTGAAGCTAATCTCTTGTATAATTATTTGTATACTTGATCTTCAGATACAGTTTCTTGAGAGATGTTCTTTTCTTTTGTATTTATAGTATACTGCATTCTTAATTTAATTATTTTTTATAAAAAAATCTGTTGGCTTAGAGATAGTGGCATGGAATAAGAGAACAGTAAACTTCAGATTACCAGATTTCAAGCTAACAAGCTTTATATAGATAGATCTTGTCATGCTTGCTTTATGTGTGTGTTGCTATTATTTTCTTCAGCTACTAATTTTACTTAATGAATAAGTTAGCTAGAAGTATATTTTCTGAATTTTCTGAAAGATAGATAGATTCATGCGGAATATAATAGACAGCACAATTAATTTTTCTGAAATCTTGTTTAGAAAGTTATCTCTATAGTTCTTTTTGTTAACTCTAGCTTCATCTGTCAAGTAAAGAAATTTGATTATAAAATTTATGTAGTTATTGTAGTGGGGATTCTGGTACCTCATTAGGACAAAGGTTGTTCTGGTCTGAGGCACAAACCACACCAAAGCTACTATTCTTGAGCTATATAAACCACCTGTAGCCCCTGCATCTTGCTTATTATCTTCATGCACCATTGCTCTTTTTTACACACTTGTTCCTTACTACCAGTTTGATTATTAGTTAGAGAATATGAAGATTTCTTGTTTATGAAATGTGCTACTGTTTCTTATTAGAGCTGCCTGTGTTATTACAGGGCTCTTTAGTACCATTACTTCTTATAAGCTTAGATGTCTGTTAGGACATACCTATCTCTACACTTACTACTTGATCATACTCTTACTATATTGTGATTTTTCACCTTTCTTGTTCTCTCACCATATCAACCAACTTGTCTATCTTGATAAGATATCTCATTGTACCCCACTTTATTTGGTGACCAAGCTAAGACTTGAAGATGATAATACAGTAATTTATTGACTGCTAAGAAAGAGAAAAACAAATTCTGAGACACATAAAGCAATACACTATTTCAAGATAAGATCTTATGAACTAGGAACACAGTACTAATCAGGTTTTTTATTTAGAAATAAGATTAGAGAGCTTAGATTTGAATGCCTCTTATCTAGAGCTTGCCCAATAAACAGGTTTTTAGAAGATATTGACTAATAGACAGAACATACTGTGTAACATGATCAAGATCAAGAAATCAAGAAATTGAAATCAGAATCAACTATAGCTGAAGATACTACAGAATCATATGCAACTATGTTACAGAGTGAGAACAAGAGAATTGTGGTTCATTCCTACATTTGTATATCTTTCTCTGGCATGGCAAATGCATCTTGGTTTGACAGTAGAGATACTACCCTGTTTATTGACAGGTTTTATCAGATGTGCAAGAATCATGAGATAATTGATCTTAAAAACATTATTGAATGATTGGCTAGGTACTGTGTTACATAAATTGAAGAATGAATGAAGATCTTGAAAGACTACAAAAAAGATAATTGGGAAGTATTCTTCAAAGAGATTATTTATGAATTTTGTGATCAACACATTACTTACAAGATTCACCATCAGAATTATCTCTGGACAATTACAAAGAAACCATGTGCTTGGGATAGCAACATTCATATCTATATTTGAGAATACACTACTATCACCAGTACAGTTCAAGCAAATGGAAGACTTGATAAATTCACTAAGATGTCTTGATTTCTTCAGAGACTACCTGAGAAGCTCTGGAATAAGATTATTGACAAGATCAAGCTCAATCTTTCAGACAATATATTGCCTATTGATTTTAGAAAGGTTGTTTAGATGATCATGGATTTGATCAACCAATATGAAGGGAATAAGAAGATCTTTAAAGAAGATGAAATGAAACAAAAGAAAATAAAGAAGCTTGATGAGCAATATTAATTAACTAACAAGCTCCCTACAATTGAAGCTCCAAAGAAAACAGCTAGTTTTGCAAAGACTAAAGAATCTGAATTGAAATTCAAAGTCAAGAACTCTGACAGCACCAATATTGAAGCTGCTATTGAAAAGTTAATTAATGAGTTCACAAATTTGGCATTGGCCATGAAAGTACAATCAAATCAGATACAAGAGAATTATGATCAGTATTATATGCTGCAGAGAGAAGGACCTTCAAAACCTATATCAAATTATCCAACTAATGTGACTGTTAATTCTACAACTGTATAAGAGAATACTTGACCACCAGTCAATCTCTATTTGACTTGAAATGGCTCTTCTATAACAGACTATAGTGGTGCTTGTGGATGAGAAGGAGCTCAAACTGAAGGAATTTCAATATATTTCTCATGCTTCTACTGTGAAAAACCTGGACATCATCAATCTCAGTGTTATGAATACCAATCCAATATGAGTAATGGATACTGCCATATTAATGACAAAGAAAACTTACACATGGGCTCTAAGAGTCAAAACTATTGAGTTGTCACTTTTAAATCTGGAATCCTGAACATGTATATTGTATAGTCTATGGAAGAGAATGAATAGGCAATTCTGGAGTCAACAAGCTCTAAAAAGAAGACCAATCAGCAAGAAGAGACATTTTCTGCAAATTCAACTAGTGTGAAGGTCCAAGCAGAATGACTTGCATATCTAATATCTGATAGAGAATCTGATTCAGATAAGAAATATAAACCATTGGAAGAAAGAACATCAGTCAATATCAGGATAGTGTAGTGGAGATTCTGGGACCTCATTAGGACAAAGATTGTTCCAGCCTGAGACACAAACCACCCCAAGCTACTATTCTTGAGCTATATAAACCACCTGTAGCCCCTGCTTCTTGCCTATTATCTTCATGCACCATTGCTCTTTTCTGCACACTTGTTCCTTACTACCAGTTTGGTTATTAGTTAGCAAATATGAAGATTTCTTGTTCATAAAACTTGCTACTGTTTCTTATTAGAGCTGCCTGTGTTAGTACAGGGCTCTTTAGTACTATTACTTCTTGCAAGCTTAGATGTCTGTTAGGACATGTCTATCTCTACACTTACTACTCAACCATACCCTTACTATGTGGTGATTTTTCACCTTTCTTGAGCTCTCATCATATCAACCAACTTGTCTACTTTAATGAGGCATCCCATTGTACTCTGTTCCATTTGATGACCAAGCTGAGACCTGAAGATAATAATGCAGTGATTTGGTGACTATCAAGAAAGAGAAAAACAAATTCTGAGACATATAAAGCAATACACTATTTCAAGATAAGATCTTATAGACTAGGAACACAGTACTAATCAGGTTTTTTATTTAGAAATAAGATTAGGGAGCTTAGATTTGAATGTCTCTTATCTAGAGCTTGCTCAATAAACAGGTTTTTGGAAGATATTGACTAATAAACAGAATATACTGTGTGATATGATCAAAGATCAAGAAATCAAGAAATTGGAATCAGAATCAACTATGGCTGAAGGTACTACAGAATCATATGTAACTATATCACAGGATGAGGACAAGAGAATTGTGGTTCATTCCCACATTCCTATGTCTTTCCCTAGCACAGCAAATACATCTTGGTTTGACAGCAGAGATGCTATCCTGTTTATTGAAAGGTTTTATCAGATATGCAAGAATCATGGGGTAATTGACTCTAAAAATATTATTGAATGGTTGGCTAGGTACTGTGTTACATGGATTGGAGAATGGATGAAGACCTTAAAAGACTACAAAGAAGATAATTGGGAAGTATTCTTCAAAGAGATTATTCATGAATTTTGTGATCAAGACATTACTTACAAGATTTACTATTGGGATTACCTCCAGGCAATTACAAAGAAACCACATGCTTGGAATGGCAACATTCATATCTATATTTGAGAATACACTACTATTGCCAGTACAGTTCAAGTAAATGGAAGACTTGATAAATTCACTAAGATGTCTTGGTTTCTTCAGGAGCTATCTGAGAAGCTCTGAAATAAGATTATTGACAAGGCCAAGCTCAATCTTTCAGATGATATGTCATCTATTAATTTTAGAAAGATTGTTTGGGTGACCATGGATTTGATCAACCAGTATAAAGGAAATAAGAAGATCTTTAAAGAAGATGAAATAAAACAAAAGAAAATAGAGAAGCTTAGTGAGTGATATCAATTAGCTAACAAGCCCCCTACAGTTGAAGCTCTAAAGAAAACAGCTAGTTTTGCAAAGACTAAAGAATCTGAATTGAAAGTCAAAGCCAAGGGCTCTGACAGCACCAATATTGAAGCTGCTATTGAAAAGATGACTAATAAGTTCACAAATTTGGCATTGGTCATGAGAGTACAATCAAATCAGATACAAGAGAAACTCAATCAGTATTATATACTGCAGAGAGAAGAACCTCCAAAATCTATACTAAATTATCCAACAAATGTGACTGTTAATCCTACAACTGTACAAGAGAATACTCAACTGCCAGTTAACCTCTATTTGGCTTGAAATGACTCTTCTATGACAGGCTATAGTAGTGCTTGTGAATGAGAAGAAGCTCAAACTGAAGAAATTTTGACACATTTCTCATACTTCTACTGTGGAAAACCTGGACATTATCAATCTCAGTGTTATGAATACCAATCTAATATGAGTAATGGATACTGCCATATTGATAATAAAGGGAACTTACACATAGACTCTAAGAGTCAAAACTATTGAGCTGTCACTCCTAAATCTGGAATCCCAAACATGTATATTGTATGATCTATAAAAGAGAATGAATGAGTAATTCTGAAGTTAACAAGCCCTAAAAAGAAGGTCAATCAGTAAGAAGAGATATCTCCTGCAAATTCAACCAGTGTGAAGGTCCAAACAGGACAGCTTGCATACCTAATATCTGATGGAGAATCTGATTTGAATAAGAAATATGAACCATTGGAAGAAAGAACATCAGTCAATATTAAAACAGTTGGAAAAGCTAAGAATAATCAAAAAGCTAAGATTGCAATGTCCCATACTCAGTGTACTGAACAATTTATTACTTACTGAGATAATCAGACTAGTGTTGATGATGATATCATAAAAGATGTTGAACTGATTAATCAGAAGAAGCCTGAAATTCAGAGTAAGTCTGTAGAGAAACAAAGACTAAGATATTTTGCAACAGATTACTTATCCTCTCAGATCTGTAATTCAATGGATACCAATGAATTAATGAGTTGAATTCTCAATGGAAAAGTTGAATTATCAGTCAAGAAGCTTATAGATGTATCACTAAAGCTTTATTGAGTGTTTTTTGAATCAGGCTGGAATAACAGTACTAGCAAAAGCCATGCAAGGGTTGGAGTCTCTGAACCAGTTCAGCCTGAGCTAAAGATCAATTCTGGTTAACTTACTTCAAAGCTTATGATGCCAAAATCCAAAACAGCATATGGAATGTGTTTGTTATATGTGCCAGTCACTATAAACCAACAAGAATTAATAGTGTTGATTGATACTGGTTCAGAAATCAATTTGTTGTCTTGAAAGTATACTGAAATATTGAATCTGCTAATGGAAAATAAGCCACAAGTAACCATGGTTGTTTAAATGGGAGAAGTTGCTTTTTTTTATATGTTTTGTGATGAGGTGCCTGTTCAAATTGAAGATATTGTTACACATACCTCTTTCCTTATATTTGAGGAAGAGGATCAGTAAATTATTCTTGGAAAATCTTGGCAATTTGCTGCCTGTTAAGGATGCAACATCTCAGAAGATGGCAGAGTAAACTGTGAAATTTATAATGAGAAATAAATATGTTGCCTAGTTTTTGAAGACTTTAAGCCAAACTTGAGCAATATGAGATATATGACTGATAAATTGAACAGTGATCATTTAAATAATTCAATGGGCATTTAATTAGGCAGGTGCCCATGGATACAAGGCCTGAGAAGAATGAAGAAGATGTGATGAAGATGATAAGTATAAGAATTAATAATGAAAAGATTGAAGATCAGGAGATTGATGGCAGTATTGCTGGTATTGGTGCTTATGATGATGAGAAGAGACATAATTCTGGTGTTGGTGAATTCAAAAGCACACTAAGTCTAATTGAATTAACCAGCACACTGGTGAATCAAATGAATTAATCAGAAGACAAGAATAATTTTGCATTGGAAGTTTGAATCTTCTGATCTCTGCTTCCTAATCCAGACAGTGTCATGGCTCACTGCAAATATTACACATGTGATATTAATTCCAGCTTAATTTGAAAACATATCTTATGAAGTGCTTGATCAATTTACACATCTCTGAACAAAAATCATGATTTTGTCATGAAGAAATTGCATCAGACAGACATTTTCAATAGTGAATGGGACATCAGACTGCCTTCTTCAGAGGTCTAGAGAGTGTGCACTGCTTATAAGTGGAAAGCTGATAAGATAAGACTATTAGCACCTGGAAAATCTGATGGAAGCAAGCTGGAAGATCTAGATAATTGGGTGGATGTTTGTTTGGATAAGTATTACTCTGAGAAGAAATGCATTGTGTTTAATTGTGAATTTAATGACTATATTAGATCTAGAATTGTGCCCTTTCCTGTTGAAGAATGGCTAACAAATAAGAGAATTGAGAAGCTCAAAATTGGATTCAAACTGACAAATTAGAAGAAGGAATTTTTCATATCAGTTCTTTATAAATATGAAGAAGCATTGGCTTAATCATTTAAAGATCTATATGGTGTTTATTCTGAATACTTGTCTTCTCAGATTATTTGAACAGAGCTCCATGAGACTTGGCAGACTAAGACTTACTGAATTTCTCATGCTCTACATAATAAGCTAATTAAAATCATTCAGGACAGATTAAAAGCTAAAATATTGGAGTCTTGCCATAATTCATATACCAATTCCTATTTTCTGATTGCAAAGAAACAGAAAGGTAAATATTGTTTAGTTGATGCAGCACATATATATAACAAAGTTACTATTCAGAACACTTTTATTCCCTCTAATATTGATGAATACACTGAAGACTTTGGCAGACTTGTTATGGCTAGCCTATGTGACTTATTCTCTGGATATGATAATTTTCCATTAGCTGAAGAAAGCAGAGATATAACAGCCATTGCAATCCTTATTGGGCTCTTTCATCATATGACTTTAGTTCAAGGGGCAACAAATTCACCAGCTCAAGCCCAATGCAGGATAATAAAGATAATATGTGAGGTTTTTCCAGAGATTGCTTGAGCCTTTATGAATAATCTTGGGGTAAAAGAATTGTATGTCAAAGATGAAACTGTGAGGATTGTATGTGTGGATCAGCGTGACAATGAATCTCTAGGAGGAATATACATGGAAAAAGAGTACACAAGGTAAAAGGTCTGTATTCTGGCAACTATGTACAACTTGTAAACAAGATTGCCACTGGCTCCCAGCAAGGGGTTCACACAGTGATGGTCTTTTATGTGTGCTCGCAAGCATGTGACTTAGTGCCTCGCAAGGACACATGCAACTCCCAGCAGCTTGTGAGCTGAGGCCTCTGGCCTTCACAGGTGCTGTTTGTCTGTGTAAGGGTTTCGCGGCAAATCCTTACAGAAACTGAAGTCCTCTCAGAAATAAGAAGATTTGTTTATGACCATCTGCAGAATCTGAATTATGTTCTATGGCTTGTCAAAGTCTCTGAAGCCAGAATCTCTGGTGCCAAATCTCAATTCTGCATGTCTGGAGTCAATGTCATTGGATAGGTCTGTGACTATGATGGATGATAACCTGAGAAAGCCAAGATGGCTAAAATTGCAAATTAGCCTACTTCTATAAGTGTTACAGAATTACAAGAATTCCTAGAGCTAGCTGGATATTTCTGAATACTTATAGAGCATTATAGTTGGATAGCTGAACCTTTACATTATCTGCTTTAATGAAATGTTATATAGACATGAACTGAAGAGCAAAATAATGTCTTTATACTTTTGAAAGAAAAGTTATATTCATTCTCTATTGTTCTTCCAATTAATTATGAACAAGATTCTTTGCTTATCACTGTAGCTGTTAATGCCAGTAAATTAGAATGGGGAGAATGCATTATTTAGAAGCAATGAGAAGCTTGACATTCTGCATAATATGAATCTGGAGTATGGAATAATTTAGAGAAAACATATAATACTGGCAAATGAGAATGCAGAGCTGTTTTAAAAATCTTTAAGAAATTCTGACACCATATATATGGAGTGCTCTTTACTTTGGAAATTGATGCAAAAACTCTTGTCACCCAACTTAATAAAACTACTACAGATGTTCCAGAAGCTTTGGTTACCAATTAAATAGCTTGAATATATCTCTTTAACTTTACTGTTAAACATGTTCCTGGGACAAAACACACAGCTGCTGACAAACTATCTTGCTGAGAACTAGATATTAGGGAACAGCCTGAATCTGAAAAAGATGAAGATCTGTTTGCCTTTATGAATTCTATAAGAGTTTTAGCTGGCTGAGCTCTTGATAGTGAAGATCTTAGAATACTGGACTCCACATATTCAGAAGAATTGGAGAAAATTATACAATACCTAACCACTCTATCAAAACCATTGGGCATGGAAGGAAAAGAGTATATGCGATTCTGAAGAAAAGTAATTAAATATGTGGTGGAGGCCAATCAGCTATTTAGGCAAGCAGGATCTGGTGTGTCTCTAAGATATATTGTGAACAACAAAGATCAGTGTGAACAAATTTTACACATAATGCATGATAAATTTGACCATAAAGAGTGAGAGAGAACATACTCTGCTCTACAAGCTCAATACTAATGGTCAGGAATATATAAAGATGTGTCTGCTTATGTAAAGTACTGTTTTCAATGTTAATAAAGAGATTCATAAAGATTGAGTAAAGAGCTTTATTCTACCTAGGCCCCTATCTGTTAAGAGAAAGTTAGAATGGATATCAAGCACATGCCTTTCTGTTGAGAATAAAATTATTTGGTTGTTGCCAGATGTGACTTCACTAAATAAGTGGAAGCTAATGTCTTGAAAAAGACAACAGCTGAAGCTGTGGCCAAATTTCTTTATGAGAATATTATCTGTTGATGGGGCCTGCCTGCCAAATTTATTATGAATGAAGAATCAGAAAATAAGAATGTTGTGGAGATCTTACTGAAGAAATTCAACATTAAATATATTGTTATTTTGCCCTATAATCCTCCTGTGAATGGTATGGTGGAAGTTGGCCATAAGCCTTTGGCTGATGAGCTAGCTAAAGCTACCAATGATACTAAAAGAGATTAGATTAAACATCTTTCTGTAATTCTGATGGTGGACTGAATAATAACTAAGGCTAGTACTGGTGTTTTCTCTTATAGATTGCTAATGAGCCAGGAGGCAGTTCTTTTGATTGAACTCAAGATTCCTACTTGATAAATAATTCTCTGATAAAAGATTTGAACAACTGAAGACCTGCTTCTGATGTAAGTATAGCAAATTAAAAGATAAGATGAAAATGTTCTGAAAGCAGCTCATCATCAGCTCTGAA